GGATCTTCACAAAGTAAGTTTACAAACTTCAACATCATTCAGAGTAATAGGAGCAGTCTAGAAATAATTGAAATACAATGTGGAAATGAATATATGACTTTACATTTTGACCATGGATATGCTTTAGAGTCAATAGAGTGCCACTCTTAGTTACCCTCAGGAAATCATTATAAATGCCACTTCTTTCTACCTGGTACTAAACCCATTCAATGGTTCTCAGCTCCATAAATACTAATGAATGCTAACAGATTGCTAAAAGGCAGTCTAGGGATTCCAGCATTCTGTCCCCATGTCATTATTAAAACTCAGTACTCACATGGTGGCACCATGTGATGTGACAACTTTGGTTCATGCTGCCCTTTGATGGCACTGCCACTAACAAGAATCTTACCTTGCCCTGACGATGGACAGCTCTACTCTCAATTACATGCTGGCACACAATGACGCACTACAGGGATATTTTTCAAACAGCACACAAATTTAAACAACGGCTATGCCCCAAACAGCTGATAACTATATAGGGATAAAAAAAAATATACTAAAGTTTCTTAGTCTGTATTAAAGTAGAAGGCGGAGGTACTTTATATGTTCCATTTTTTCAGTATACTAGAAATTCCTTTGCTTGCCAATGACTGATTCCATTTTTTCAAAGGTTGCCTTCCATGGATCATGAAGCTTGCTGTGTCTCTATTAGTGGTTTGCCTTGATAAAGAGAGCTGAAAAGCAAAACATTATGTTAAAAGGAAAGGAAACTGAAAAAACCATAGAGCTAAGAAAGTATTTTTTAGGACTGATTATGATAATATACTGTAGATGCAGTCTATGGTAACAGAGGAGTTGTTCAGATGGCAGCTTTGAGGCAAGAAGGCACTGGACAACACGATCTCATTCCCATGGACACAGGGGCCCTTATAGCCTGTAAGAGGCTGTACAGTCATTGCATCTCCATTGACTAACATAGGCTGCCCGCATGCAGCTCCACACTTTTCCAGACACATAAACAATTTGCTCTTGTAAGCTCTAGGGGCCTCTGCAACCATGTGTAAAGCTCTAAGGGATTAGTAGTCCCATGTTTATTTTCATGTATGTAGTCGACAGAACAGCTTCAAATCAGCAAAGAAACAAAGTCCTGCTTACTTCAGCACATTGATTGATACAGTAAGCTTTTGCTCAGTTTGAACAACTTATAGTCTGCTAGTTACATAGTTAGTGAGGTTGAAAAAAGACACTAGTCCATCTAGTTCAACCAATAAAAAAACACACATACACATAGAAAACCTCCATATACACTACCCTACAGTTGATACAAAGTAAGGCAAAAAAACTGAAATAAATCATGATCCAATTATCTTCAGTGGGGAAAAATTCCTTCCTGATTCCCCAGGAGGCAATCAGATATTCCTTGGATCAACTATCCCTGATGTTATTACCTCTAAATATTAATATTCAGGTATATTTTGTGACTTTATGAATGCACCCAGCATTTTTATTAAAACAATCTACTGAGCTGGCCAGAACTAGTTATTGCGGGAGTCTATTCCACACTTTCACAGCTCTTACTGTGAAGAAGCCTTTCCATACTTCCATACTCCAAACATATAAAGTACCCTCTTGTCTTCTGTAATGACCTGAAAGTGAATAACTTCACACCAAGTTGACTAAAAAAAAACCACTGATATTTATACATGTCAATCATATCCCCCCTTAATCTCCTTTTCTCAAGAGAGAATAATTTCAGTTCCTCTAATCATTCCTCACAGCTGAGCTCCTCCATGCCTCTTATCAGTTTGGTTGCCCTTATCTTCACTTTCTCCAGTTCTCCGATACATTTTTCGAATTGGTGCCCAAAACTAAATTGCAGACTTCAGAGGTCTTACTGATGACTTGTACAAGGGCAAAATCATGTCTCTCTCTCTCTGCTGTCCAAACCTCTTTTATTACAAAAAATAGTTTTGCTAACTATAGAAACAGCAGACTGGCATGGCATGCTATTATTAAGTCTATGATCTACCAGAACACCCATATCCTTCTCCATCATTGACTCCCCCAGCTGTTCTCCTAGTATGTATGATGCATGCATATTCTTAGCCCCCAAGTGCATAACCTTACATTTATCAAAATTAAATCTTATTTGCCACATACCTGTAGTTGCTCAGTGAAATAGTGCATTGGTCGACTTGTAAGTAGGAGACATCCTGTAAGGATGAAATTGTACTACATGGCTTGGTGTCATCAGCAAATACTGAAATGTTACTTTTAATCCCAGACCCTATATTGTTTATAAATATCTTAAAAAGTAAGGGTCCCAACACTGAACCTTGGGGTACACCATTGACAACCCTAGACCATTCAGAGTATGAATCATTAACCACTACTCTCTGAATACGATCTTTTAGCCAGTTTTCTATCCATTTACAAACTGAATATTCTAATCCTGTAGACTTTAATTTACACATTAGCTGCATGTGAGGAACTTTGTCAAACGCTTTGCAAAATTCATGTATACAACCCCTGGCAAAAAGTATGGAGTCACCACTCTTGGAAAATGTTCATTCAATTGTTTAATTGTGTAGTAAAAAAACTAATCGCGGACATGCCTCAAACTATTTTCATTTAACATTCCAACCTTTTGGCTTTAAGAAACACTTAAAAGAAAGAAAACTGTAGTCAGTTGTAACTGTTTTTGCAGATCAAGCAGAGGAAAAAAATATGGAATCACTCAATTCTGAGGAAAATATTATGGAATCATGAAAAAAACACTACAGTACACCACTAGTACTTTGTTGCACCACCTCTGGCTTTTATAACAGCTTGAATTCTCTGAGGCATGGATTTACCTATCGACAAACAGTATTCGTCATCAATCCAGCTCCAATGTTCTCTTATTGCAGTTGCCAGATCAACTTCGCATGTTGGAGCCTTGTCATGGACCATTTTCTTTCATTTCCACCATAGATTTTCAATTGGATTAAGGTCTGGATTATTTGGAGGCCATTCCATTGACATTATACATTATGTCTTTCTTGAAGGATAGTTTTCATGGCTTTTGCCCTGTGGCAAGATGCATTATCAACTGTAATAAACTCAGCTGCCTGCTATATCAATCTATTTATGAAAGTTCCCACATCTGGCATATGTACTTGCTTCCTCCACGAATGGGGGTGCGCATACCCATGCACCAAAGCCAGTGAAAACAAACCGATTACCTAATCAATAGTTAGGATTTTTATGAACAAAAATTAGGGATTTTGTATACAAATTTTCCTAAAGAGAGAGATCAAGCACAAATTGCCGTAAGAGGGAGATATACCCCCCTCGATCAAAATTATATTGATGACTACCTGAAAATACAAATATCAGGGATTAAAAGATTGCAGAAACATGACAAAATATAATAAGGGGCTACTCCTACATGTCTATATCTTCATCATGAGGTAATATATATCCATGAGAGATATACAATTATCATCCCCTTATATTACTTATTATGTGCATACTACAATCAAAAGTAACAAAGCTAGATGTGATTGCTTGCCTATTGACATTTGTTCACATCCACTATTTGACAGAGCAGTCTAATCATACAGCCATTTCTTTAACCACTGAATGCATATACGTCTCTGTCCACTCTTGGAAGAGGCTAATTAATTACCCAATTGATCCCTAACTAGAGACTGTTGAAAACAAATTATCTGTAAAGAGAGGGGAGGGATTGGTTTTCTAGCTCTGAATACTGTGACTACAGATCCACCCGTGCCCATAACTCCTACTGCCTCATTCCAAATAGGACCATGCATTGGTTAACATCATGATGCAATCCCTTGATCCCAATTAGTATCAAAGAGGTAGGCAAAGTACAAGTACATGGTGATTCCATAATATTTCCCTCAGAATTGAGTGATTCCATATTTTTTTTCCTCTGCTTGATCTGCAAAAATAGTTACAATTGACTACAATTTTCTTTCTGTTTTATTTTTTTTTAAATGTTTCGTAAACCTAGAAGTTAAAAATGTTAAATGATAATAGTTTTGAAGCATGTCTCTGATTGTTGTTTTTTTTCTACACAGTTAAACAACTGAATGAACATTTTCCAAGAGTGGTGATTCCATACTTTTTGCCAGGGGTTGTAGTACATCCACAGCCACTCCTTTGTCTAAGTTTTTGCTTACCTCCTCATAAAAAGAATCAGAATTGTTTGACAACGAATATTTTCTGGCAAAAACTCTTCTATATAATCTTTTAAATAAACTCTCCAGTATCTTCCCAACTGAGAAGTTAAACAAACCACTCTGTAGTTACTTGGTAAAGACTTTGATCCCTTTTTAAATATAGGCACCACGTTGGCTTTACGCCAATCCAGTAGTAACTATGCCAGTTATTAAAGAGTCTCTAAAAATTAGAAACAATTGCTTAAGTATAACAGCTCAGTTCTTTAAGGACCCTTGGGTGTAAGTCATCTGTTCCAGGTACTTTATTCTCTTTATTTTGTCTAAATGTTAGTGAAACATGTCAATTTTGAGCCATTGTGGATCATTTTGTGTGAATTGGGTGAATTTTTCAAGTGTTGTCATACAGCAAACAGTGTGTCAGTTCACCATTCACAGAATTTTTATAAGTTCCTAGCAGAGCCTTCCTGTGAGGCTCCTCAACCTTTCTGGTATCCTGGCAGACAGACTTGTGGACCAGTTGGCTTGCTTGCAGTCTCGCCCAATCTCTTCTGCAGCCCAAACTCCAGGCTTAAAAGGAATTTTACAATCAGCCTTTTAAAGGCAGAGTGACTTATATTCCACTGGGCTTCCCTACAGTGAATACATGCCCCGACCCATATTCTGGGAAACAAATATTTTCCATCCACCTTGTGTACCATCTTAGCCATGTTACTCTATCTATCTATCTATCTATCTATCTATCTATCTATCTATCTATCTATCTATCTATCTATCGTAATAGATGTTTGCATAAAACTTTGAAAACTAATTACAGATCAGACACAATGTACACTAACAAACTGTGGAATTAGGAGCACTGACCAAATTAGATCTGCACTGTATAATAGCAGATAAAAGTGCTACTGTTGTGTTTTGCTCTTTACCAGTGGCTTCTGTATGAAATATTAAACCATCATGGCTTTGGATATGGCATCTTGAATACACTTTTCGCCCCTCAATTTTCTCCACATAGCTGTCTACTAGCAAGGTGCATCCAAGAGGGATAGGCCTGTGAAGGAACATATTACTATGTAAGCTATATGCATACAATACATATATGTATTATATGTAATTAACATGGAAATTACTTGAGATAGTTGATGTTAAGGTTGGCTGTCATGACGCTACCACAAGTGTACACAGCCCCTGCTCCAGCTGTGCTGTCAATAATGGTTGCAACAGAGCCCCCATGGGCATACCTGGAAGACATTTTTAACAAATAAAAATGAAAAGGTTAATGATTATTATCTAAAAAGCTAAGTGAGTTCACATTAGTCTATGTGGTTAACATCATTTACCCTATATTAAAGGATACCTAAATGTATTTCCTGTTTTAGTTTTGTAAAAGGAATGGCTACAACTGTTTTTTTTTTACTGTCATCCTGTTAAGGTAATATAAGAAAACCTCAGTACATGCTGGAAGGAGAAGGCTGGCACATGCTCATACTTCTGAGCAAAAGCTCAATACAAAACAGGCATTGTCACACTCGCACAAATATATTAGAGTGTGCAGAAAACAACTGCGCATGCGCACATGTACGTGCACACGAACATGTATGAGCACTGGCACCAAATGGCCTATTTAAGCTGTACTTTGGATGGATTGCTGAGTGGTCTTCTGCTAATGCCCCTGACCTGTCCTTAGATTTCTGCCTGCCTACCGTGACTTTGGCTTGTATTCTGTACTTCGCTGCGCAGCTGTTTACCGATCCCGACTTGTATCCTGGCTCTGTCTCTGCCTGATGTTGCTGTACCTCACTGCCCAGCTGTTGATTACCTTTTGGTTTGTGTCCTGGCTACACTCCTGTCTGCCAAGCAAGTGTCAACGTTTTCCGGTTCCTGCCTGGTGATCTATGGTCATCTGCTTCCTGCAAACCCCTGCTGGTGCTACCTTCTACACCTGCCCTTGTACCACTCTATCCTCACACTCCCTGTCATCACTACCAGGGGTGTAGGGCAAGAGAAGCCCCCTCTCCATCTTGATCCCCACCAAACATGACAGATAACAAACCTAAAATTTTGGATTTCCTTTTACTTTCCCAAAGATAGTGGTCACAAAAACAGAGAGAGGAAATTAATAATGCCACACACTATCCAAAAGCAAAAGTAACAGTTTTTGGTTTAGTTTAGGGGGTCTCCAAAACATTGAGTCTCCAAACCTTTTTAAACAAAAGGCCAGTTCACTATGCTTCAGACTTTAGGGAGGCTGGAATTTGGCCAATGGGAGTCTTTTTTTATATGGGATGTGTCACAAACAATTTTAACCCTCTATAACATATCAAATGTTAGAAAACATATATAATGTATATATTTATATAAATACTGTAGATTTTTATCTGGAGTATGTGCAAGAGCAACAGGGAAACATAGAACATGCATGAAACTAAGAAATCCAGCCCCTTACCTTTCAGACCCTTAGGTAAGGTAAAATGTTTCCTTATTTTTTGTTCAACCAGCAGATTGAGCTTAATAAAAATGTACCAGTTCTCCCATCCACACATTCGAGGTGGATGGGGGAATCACTCCCACAGCACTATTCTGTTCTTCAGGTGGGGAACCTTTCCCACCAGTAGTATACAAAGACCAGTGTTGCCAGCTACAGCCAGCAACACTGAACGTTATGGGAAAGACCCGAGAAGCTGGTTGTACACATGTCATTTGATAGATCAACTTGTGTACAACCAGCTAGCCCATACATGGATTGAAATTCCCTCATGTATCCATTGTAAAGCCAGTTTTACTTCAGCCTCTCAGGTCTCAAGTCAAGGTCTTTGCACTTTCCTCACAACCTTAGTATTAGGCCACTGTGAACAAGCTAAGCAGACAGCAATGTTATTAGCATATTGATGTACTTTTTCCTTTTTAAAGGATGTTGCAAGAGATAAGAATTAGGCAGTGAAATCAGAATAATGTTCTGATAATGATTCCTGCTTCTTATCTCTGCATACACCAAGCAATCACAATTAGGACTTGCTTCAAATATACAAAGAACCCAGGCAAGGAGAACAACCAGCACATTAACCAGTTATGGTAGTGTCTGGCTGAAATCAAAAGGAGAATGGAGAACAGGTAGAGGAGGAATAGGATTCAGCCTAAACAAGGTCTCTAACAGCAAAGTAGGCTGCTATGGTGAAAGTCCTAGCACTAGCAATATTTTTTCTTATAAATTGAAAGAAAAATATATAAATCAATACTCAGAGCTATAGTAGATGTACAGAGAACAGTCATACATCCCCTTGCACTGGTACACCTAAGATCCCGTTCATTCTTGAGTGATTTGAAGTTTCAGGGATAGAGCTTTCACCCTCAACACTAGGATTTCCATTGTTTCTTTCAGCCCCAGAAGACTTTAATGAGAGTGCTTTAAACACTTGAAAAACACAATTGAAGTGCATGTTGTGTGTTCTTGCTCAGCGCAAGTGTGAAGGGAGCCTTAGTGAAAACAAAAGTGATTCTAGAAGGTTTTCAAACCTGTTTTAATGGTCTTTTTTCCTCAAGACTGATGACTGGTGGCTGTGTACCTAGATTGTCACCAGATCTGGATGAAATCTGTCAGACTGGGCTATAAAATGAAATGTCTATGGCCAGTCTTAATCTGTCTGCCTTTCTATCTTGAATAGTTGGTAGTAGTGAAAAAAACCCACATATTCATCAAGTGTATTTTAAAGAAAAATGCATTAAATCCTTGAATCCTCATACTGATAAATCTGAAGTTGATCATAAAATATCATTCCAATTTGCTCTAGCAGGGAAGGAAATCTACAGTTATTTCTTATGAATATTAATATTAGGTTATACTGTATTTTTGCATTCTTATCCTTGGACATTTTTCATTTATATCTTTGGACTAAATAATACCATTTAATATAACACATTTTACACTGGAATGTGGGAAAAAACATTTCTTGGTACAAAACAATAACTTACCCTGGGGGTCCTTCAAGGTATGGGCCAGGCTGGAAAAGACAGACCATTCTTGATTCCGCTTTGTTATAAAACATGCAGTATTCAAAGCCAACACCATCTCTATCTAGATTTCTGAGGAACATGCGTTTGCCTATTCCTGTCTCTCGGGGATCACCTGAAATTTAAAAAATAGTGAAAACTAGCTGGGGAGATGTTTATTCTGTTTAATTACACTTTTCAAAAGCCCTTCTTTCTATAGAACAGGTTTTACATTCAGTCTACAGGTGGTACAGGGCTAAAAAAATGTAAACATGCTAAGAGAATGTCATATTGGGGTTGGGGTTTTGGTGAATAAAATGCCGCGTTTAAATATTTCATTTGTAGAGTTTAAAAACATGTATTGTGTAATGAGTGATATTCAATTGCATCTACAATCAATTTTATTAAACCTAAAACATTTTATATGTGTATTTGGAAGAAAAAGGGATGGGGGCACCTACGGTGAATACTGATTATATACAGATGACATATTGATTGCATATTATCTACATTTTAGCCTAACATATACACTGCTCAAAAAAATTAAAGGAACACTTTTTAATCAGAGTATAGCATCAAGTCAATTAAACTGCGGGGATATTGATCTGGTCAGTTAAGTAGCAGAGGGGGTTGTTAATCAGTTTCAGCTGCTTTGGTGTTAATGAAATTAACACCAGGGGCACTAGATGGGAAACAATGAGACAATCCCAAAAACAGGAATGGTTTTACAAGTAGAGGCTGCTGACATTTTTTCCCTTGCTCATCATTTCTGACTGTTTTTGCACAGGCAGTACAACTCTTCCAGGATGGCACATCAAGGTTTGCTGTGTCTCCCAGTACAATCTCAAGAGCATGGAGGAGATTCCAGGAGACAGGCAGTTACTCTAGGAGAGCTGGACAGGGCCATAGAAGGTCCTTAACCCATCAGCAGGACCGGTATCTGCTCCTTTTTGCAAGGAGGAACAGGATGAGCAATGCCAGAGCCCTACAAAATAACCTCCAGCACTGGTGTTAATGTCTCTGATCAAACAATCAGAAACAGACTTCATGAGGGTGGCCTGAGGGCCTGACATCCTCTAGTGGGCCCTGTGCTCACTGCCCAGCACCATAGAGCTTGATTGGCATTTGCCATTGAACACCAGAATTAGCAGGTCTGCCACTGGCGCCCTGTGCTTGTCACAGATGAGAGCAGGTTCACCCTGAGCACATGTGACAGATGTGAAAGGGTCTGGAGAAGCCATGGAGAACATTTTGCTGCCTGTAACATTGTTCAGCATGACTGTTTTTTGGTGGATCAGTGATGGTCTGGGGAGGCATATCCATGGAGGGATGCACAGACCTCTACAGGCTAGACAATGGCACCCTGAGTGCAATTAGGTATCAGGATGAAATCCTTGGACCCATTGTCAGACCCTACACTGGTGCAGTGGGTCCTGGGTTCTTCCTGGTGCACAACAATATCCGGCCTCGTGTTGTGAGAGTATGCAGGCAGTTCCTGGAGGATGAAGGAATTGACATCATTGAATGGCCCCAGAGCTTGCCTGACCTAAATCCAATAGAACACCTCTGGGATATCATGTTTCGATCCATCTGACGCCGCCAGGTTGCACCTCAGAATGTTCAAGAGCTCAGTGATGCCCTGGTTCAGATCTGGGAGGAAATACTCCAGGACACCATCTGTCGTCTCATTAGGAGCATGCCTCGATGTTGTCAGGCATGCATACAAGCATGTGGGGGCCATACAGACTATTGAGTACCATTCTGATTTGCTGCAATGAAATTTCAGCAAAATGGAATAGCCTGCTGCATCATTTTTTCACTTTGATTTTTGGGGTGTTTTTGAATTCAATCTTCTGTAGGTTGATAATTTTCATTTCCATAAAACAATGGGGCATCCTTACATTCCTAACACATTACCCAGTCCATATCAGTATAGATATCCAGCATGAGATTTTTTCCCATTGAGATCTGATGTGTTTTCAAAGTGTTCCTTTAATCTTTTGAGCAGTGTATCTTAGAACCTGTCTTTGTTTCCCTGCAATTCAGATCAAAACCTGTAGTAGAAACTGACAATGAAGAAAAAAAGATGGAACCTACCTGGTTGCCTTTGGGCAATACCAACAGTTTTTATGACAAACAATTTATTAACTATGATCCATTGACCCATTAACTATGTTAAGTATAAACTATGGCCCATTCTTTAAGGTTCCCACTATCACCCATGTTTTCAGCTCTAGGTGGCATTTGTGCCTATAAGCTCAGTTCTACAGAAATTCTTACCTTCTAGATGATGGGCTGTAGTGTTATGGGAAGGAATTCTTTTCCATAGGCCAGTTTTACTAAGTTCCATGAATTTGTCATACAGATCCTGCAAATTTGGACCCCATGTGACATTGGGCAAACCAAAATCACGTAGTCCCTCAACAGGACATGTGCTGCTAATCTAAATACAAGAAAGCAGTCAGTGAGCACAGCTACATTTAAATTGCAAACATTAGTTATAAAAAACATTGTCGAAGGTAACAGTTAATCTGGTTGATAAAGACACAAGTGCAGTTTAACCAAACATAAACATTGTCCTCTGTGATGACCTTCAAATGAATAAATCTACACCGAGTTCACTATATGAACCACTGATGTATTTATACATGTTGATCATATCCCCCCTTAATCTCCTCTTCTCAGAAGAGAATAAATTCAGTTCCTCTAATCTTTCCTCATAGCTGAGCTCCTCCATGCCTCTTATCAGTTTGTTTGCCTTCTCTGCACTTTCTCCACGATCCCAATATCCTTTTTGTGAATTGGTGCCCAAAACTGAACTGCATATTCCAGATGAGGTCTTACTAATGATTTGTACTGGGGTAATATGATATCTCTCTCTCTGGAGTCTATACCTCTTTTAATACAAGAGAGGATTTTTGCTCGCTTTAGAAGCCGCAGCTTGGCATTGCATGCCATTATTAAGCTTATAATCTACCAGAACCCCCAGATCCTTCTCCACCATTTACTCCCCCCAGCTGTTGTCCTGCTAACATGTATGTTGCATGCGTGTTTTTAGCCCCCAGGTGCATCATTTTACATTTATCAAAAATAAACCTCATTTGCCACATAGTTGCCCAATTAAACAGTGCATTGATGTCAGCTTGTAAGTTGAAGACATCCTGTAAGGATGTTATTCCACTGCACAGCTTGGTGTCATCTGCAAAGACTGAAATAGTACTCTTAGTCTCAGACCCTATATCGTTTATAAATATATTAAAAAGTAAGGGTCCCAACACTGAACCCTGGGGTACAACACTGACAACCCTAGACCATTCAGAGTATGAATCATTAACCACTACTCTCTGACTACAGTCTTTTAGCCAGTTTACTATCGATTTACAAACTTATTTTTCCAAGCCCGTAGAATTTACTGTATATAGGTATATAGGACATGCAAATATAGACAAGTTACTCACTGAGAAGTAGCGGGAAAGTAATCTGGCTGTTAGCAGATGGGTGGGAATAAACAGGGTAGGGTACCTCTGAAGAAGATTGACACAGTTTTTCAGCATTGTCACCACCCTTGTTAGCAATAAGAACAGAGAGAAACCAGTAAAGCACAAACGTTGTATCAAAATGTTATTAAATACATATTTTAACAAAGGTGTTATGCCTATTAGGCTCTTCCTGGGTTAGGATTAGAGATGAGCTCCTGGTTCAGATCAAACTTTGCTTGTTCAGGCATTCATCTGAACATCAGACTTTCAGCCTGTTTGGCAGGTGTTAAATATATTATATATAGTAACAGGTTTTTTCACATGGGTGCCATGTAAACAAAGTGGCATTGATATTTTTTAAAAAAAGATGAAAATAATCAAGCCAGGCCTGAGACTGTGGGAATCTTGAAGCCCCCTTCAACAATAATGATGCAACCAGCTCCCCCCCCCCTTCCTCATGTAAATGAGCAAGTAAGTAGAGTACCCCTACTCATTCAATAAAAAAATTTGAAAAGTAAATAAAAATGTTTTTTGACAAGTCCTTAAAAAAAAAGTTGCATGATCTACAGTAACACTGTCAATTATGTCATCCAGTGATGCAGTCCCACGTTGATCATGATGAATGATGTCCACCAAAAGAGAAAAACCCACTGACTGCCAACTTGATCCAACCCCAACAGCTCCGACAGATGACAACTAAGGTTCGGTGATCCTCCACCTCGTAAGGGAACTTAGAAGCATTCTCTGTTACTTCACTTTCAGGTTCAAAGCAGTCACCCTAGCTATTGTGACCAGGGATGAAGTTGATTAGGCATGATCTGAGTTTGATCAGCTTCACTAAGGTCCACAAACGACATTAGAGGTTTAAAATGAAAGTAACAAATAAAAAAACATCAAAAAACTTTTTTAAGCCCCCCCCCCAGTATATGCACATATAAATGCATGCATTGAATGTGGCTACATATGAAAATGACAGTAGTGTTCCGCATGTTACAATGTTACATATCACTGCACATGCTGGAGTAAGAGCATTAATTAAGTCCATCACTCATTGTTAACTCTAATCTGATGATCTGTAAAAGCTTTAAAAGTGTCATTTATAGAAACGTTTGTTGCTGTTTCAGGGACACGTACAATCTTAAGGCTTGATATGTTGGGGATTGTGATATGGGTTGATTAGACGCAATGTGATAGATACATTTTAGTGAGACATGTTAGTCCAAACTTGAGGGCCGGGTAGCCCACTTTTATCAAAAAGGAAAGCAAAATCTATACACAACAGTTGCCCATGCAGGGAACATCAACTTCTCAAAGCAAAACAATCACCCAAAAATAGTAGCCCACCTGGTTATGCTTCAACAGCAATGCTAATATTAGCACTGGTCCCTCAGGCTTCCGGCTCTTCAGTCTTACTCAGCCTTGGTTGCAGCACCTCATTGCACAGGCCCACTTCTGGCCTCTAAATAGGATTCTTCAGCCCCCTGAGGCTTGCTCTCTTCTCCAGAGACTTGCAGCTTCCCTCCAGACCCCTGGACTCACTAGCCTACTCAACTTCCTCTGCCTCCCAAACCCTCTCTTGGTCTCCTAGACTCCTGTAGCTGACCCGACTTTCCCAGTCCTTGGGCAAGGAATGCCCCCAAAAGGGATGCAATCTCCAGCAGGAACACCAAGCCCTCCTGACAGGGCTCTGTCAGCAACTGCCCTAAACTATTCTCAGTCTTGGTATATAATGACCCTGCACATTTGTGTACTGACACAGGCTGTAGGTGTTTAGCAAAACCCAGACACAGGATCGAAGGCTACATCCTGCCCAAGACACTGTGAGCTCCAGGCCCCGATCCAGAACTACCAAATCAGGAGAAAACTTGCAACACAGTTTTTTCCACTCACAATAAACAACAGTCTGGAACATTACATCAAGCCTGAATGTGAATACTGTGTCATTTCTATATCTCTTTCCTAATCCCACACTATGGCAGGGCCTCACACTGTCACTCACATATTTACTTAGTACAACCTCATCTGTTATATGCTGGGTACCATATTGTTTTCTTACGTCCTTGAATTTACTTTAGTCTATTTTTTGCTGAAAATATGCATTTCATAAACAATTGTACTAGTATCATGTTGATATAAAAATATTTCAACTACCGTAGTTTTATTATTCATCGTCCCTTCTTTCAGAAAATATATAATGTTTAGGGGGTTTTAACTCATCTTCAGGCTTAAAGGTTCGCTTTGACATGAGTGTAAAAAATGCAAAAACTGCTCTAGTAGCAAAAGGGACTCTGGCAGGTGAAAAATTATGTGACATGATTGTTAAATGTGGAAAACAATGACTAAGAACATGTAAAATAAAACAAGAAATCATGTACTAAATATTTGAATGTATATTATTTATTTCAGGTACTTATATAGCGCCATCAGTTTACCAAGCGCTTTACATATATATTGAACATTCACATAATCCCTAACCCTCAAGGGGCGTACAATCTAAGGTCCCTAACTTACATTTTATACATACACATACTAGGGACAATTTAGACAGGAGCCAATTCACCTACCAGCACATATTTGTATAACGTGTGCAGTTAGCAGAGTACAAAATTTTTAGCAATTATGGATAGGAGCTCAAGCTGTTCTGAGCACTGCCGAAATTGCCCACTAGTATAAAGTCTTACATTATCATTTAAAGGAAAGCAAGCAAAGGCCTAATACAATTTATTGCATCAACAAAATGTGATAGTACAAAAGGTAATGCTAACAGAATATTAAGCAAATTTTTCTCTCACCTGTCAGAGGTTGTTGTTTTCCCTTGTCGAGACTTCTAGCAGATTTAAGAGTCAGATTAATTTTGCTCTGACAGTCTGGCAAATCTCTTTACATGGTTCCGTGAGGCATTAATGATAATTGACAGTAGGGGATGAGGACTTACAGTCTGTAGGCTGGGTCAAATACGTGCCAGAGTGACATACAGCATCTTCATATGTTTGTGGATTTATAGCTTGCTGCTGATGTTATTGCTACAACAAACTTTTCAATTTTACAGAAAAATTAATATTACATTATTACAGTGTATATCCAGCCAAAACGTTTGTTCTTACTATCCATTAGAGATAGGTATCCTCACTTCCTTTATTTTCTTCTCCTCCCTATTCTTCTCATGGCGGCCATTCTCATTAAGGTAAGGTGCCTCCATTCCCTTTATTTCCTGGAACTCTGGGTCTGCCCCCTAGAACATGTGATGGGGAAGGCACTAGTGGTGTAGCCTTCCCAGGATGCATCTATGAGACCAGGGTTAAGTCACCAGTGCCTCCGTCATTCAGAAAGTGAAAAAAAAATAGTAATTGTAAGTAAACGCAAAAAATGTTTCATGCAAGGTGATTTCATATCAGCATGAAGAGCTGTAGGTTGCTGTGATTTTTAGTATAAGTGAGAATGCCTCCATCTCCCTTTATTTCCTGGAACTCTGGGTCTGCCCCTTGGAACTTGTGATGGGGATAACACTGGTGGTGTAGCCTTCCCAGGATGCATCTATGAGACCAGGGTTAAGTCACCAGTGCCTCAGTCATTCAGAAAGTGAAAAAATAGTAATTGTAAGTAAAAGTAAATTTCATGCAAGGTGATTTCATATCAGCATGCAGAGCTGTAGGCTGCTGTGATTTTTAGTAAAAGTGAGGAAAGGTCCACTTTAACAGATAAGTAGTTGACAGCTTTTTTTCACATTATGAATTCAAACGCTTTCACCGTGTCATCATTAAAATGACCTTGTTAGTACATACAAGGATGGTAATGTGAAACCACCCTATGACAGAAGCAGAAGTTTTCTTACGTTTCCTGCACCCGTACCTTAAAACTTAATTTGCATATCTTCAGCTGTTTCTGACAATTTCAGGTATGTCTTGAATGAATACAAAGGAGCACCAGGTACAAAAGTTTATCAGGTCCTCCTCCATAGAAATTCAAGAATCTACTATCTGGCGAGTTGCTGTCAAAGAGGTAGCACGGACATCAAAATGTAGAGTCCTCCAGAGTCTTGCAACTGTGCATAAACCTTGTATTTGGCCACCACTAACCAATGCTCACAAGCAGAAACGTCTGCATTGGGCAGAAAAATACATGAACACTAATTTTCAAACAGTCCTGTTCACTGATGAGTGCCATGCAACCCTGGATGGTCCAGATGGATAGAGTAGTGGATAATTGGTGAACAGCCACCCTGTTCTAACAAGGCTGCAACGTCAGTAAGGCGGTGGTGGAGTCATGTTTTGGGCCTGAATCATGGGAACAGAGCTGGTCGGCCCCTTTAGAGCCCCCGAAGGTGTAAAGATGACCTCTGCAAAGTATGTGGAGTTTATGACTGACCACTTTCTTCCCTGGTACAGAAGGAAGAACTATGCTTTCCGTAATAAAATCATCTTCATGCATGACAATGCACCATCTCATGCTGCAAAGAATACCTCTGCATCAATGGCTGCTATGGGGATAAAAGGAGAGAAAGTCATGGTGTGGCCTCCATCCTCCCCTGACCTCAATCCTATTGAGAACCTTTGGAGCATCCTCAAGCAAAAGATCTATGAGGGTGGGAGGCAGTTTACATCCAAACAGCAGCTCTGGGAGGCTATTCTGACATCTTGCAAACAAATTCAAGCAGAAACTGTCCAAAAACTCACAAGTTCAACGGATGCAAGACTTGTGAAGCTGCTATCAAATAAGGGGTCCTATGTTAAAATGTAATGTGACCTGTTAAAATTTTTAAATGTTAAAATGTTGTTAAAAGTTTGATTGAAATAGCTTTTGATTTCAGTAAATATGCTGCAAACACAACAAATGACAATTTTCAGTTCTTTACAACCTATAAAGTGTTTTGAAACTTACTGTGCGTAATAATTTGGAACAGTGCATTGGAAGTCTTTTATGTTTAAAAAAAATACTGTTATCATTAGGAGGTTTGTTCAATAAAATGTGAATTGTACTCTTAATAGTTGATAACATGAGAATTATGCCGACTGTTATTTACATCAATTATTTAGGGAAATGAGAAAAATATCGTTTGCATAATAATTTGGAACACGGTGTATATATTAGTGAATTCTTAGGTTGCAACAATGATGTTGGGAGAACTGGATGACATTTGCATTTCCAGAGCAAACATCAAAGGCTCATGTAATTGAACATAGTGAAACACAGATTTAATTATTGCAAACATCTAAAAGTCATCATGCTAATCTGTGCCCTTACCAGTCTGATTTAACCTTATCTTAATCTTACAATAACAATCTATACAAACCATTTTTTCCTTCCTGTGTACATTGCAATGTACCAATTAAAGGGGAATAATGCTCTCCTAAAGTAAAATGCATACATTACAAATGTGATTGGTCACAGCAATCACATGGTACAGGACCACTTTAATTGGCTACATGCACAGCGCAGTGAACACACAGTACACACATGAGCAGTACTGGAGGATGTACACATGCCATGTCTTTGATGCTTTGTTTCACAGCCATGGCAGGACTTATACTCCCTGTTGCTAACAGTGGGCATAGCACGCACAAATTGAAATTCATTCAACTGAAAGGAGGTGCTTGTGTGGGATCCAAAACAATTATTTTTACATACTGTCACCAGAGCACTGCTGTGTCATTATGGTGACATTGTACAGCTGTGGTGGTGATCATTTACAATGGCTGGCTGTTCAGATATCACTGTAAGCCATTGTCTCTGATCACTTTCACAGCAGTACAATGTCACCATATTAACACTGCACTGCTCAGGGGATCTCATCAGATTATTTTTGTTTTTTTCCACACTCTGAGTGCTTACTACAGGGCCAATCATTGTAGTAAGCACTTTGTGAGCACTCGTCTGTGAGAGGCAATGGTTCAAAGTAAGACGTAGCCTTTGTTTACAAGTGTGATCCCTGTGGTTGGTCACAGTATTCACATAATACAGGATCAGTTTCATTGGCCCTGTACTTCAATCTGTGATCCACTGTATCCATAGAACATAGTGAACATAGGGAGCACACAAGCGGTGGGAGCGGGAAGACATGCAGCTACGTCCTCATGAATCTAGGAAGCCCTCACCTGGCCAATAATATGCAGTGACCAGACAGGAGGTTGTTAAATAAGGGCTCTTTCACACTGGCATTTAATTTTAAAGCAGCCTAAAACCGCATTAATGCACCCATAGGGTTAATGAGCATTTTTGATGTGTTGTGCAGGCATTCATGTTGCGTCAGGCAACACCTCTCAAATGCCCAGTATTTTTTTTTTACAGGATTAAAATAGGAAATAATCAATTTGAACACTTTGCAGCTGCACCATAAATGCACTGTAAATGCCATAGAGCTTTTAAGGTGATTGTGGTATGTTTCAATTGAAGTGAATGGAGGCAATTGCAAAGTGTCAAACTCTGCAGGCAGTGTTATTTTTGCCTCGCCACAGCGCAAAGCAACGCTAATGCTGCAGTGTGAACACCTCCAACCGCTCCCTATTTTATCAATTTTGAGTAGCATTGATAGGCATTTAGGAAACATTAAAAACATGACCCAAACATCTATTTTCAATGCCTGTGTGAAAGAGCCCTAAATTACAGGAACATTTTTTTACCATTTCTTCTTAATAAAATCACAGAAATAAAACATAGGTGTTCAAATCTGATGAGATTAAAATTCTCTGTCCCAGAACAAGTTAGGGTAGACTACAAATGCTTAAAGGTAAAATGTCTAGAAATGAGACATCACCAAAGTGAAAAATATTGCTCTGGGACGCTAAAAGATTTAGGGAGAAAAAGGTCCAGGATCCAAGTGGTTAATAGACCGAAAGGAAGAAAATAAGAGTTCATTTTTTGCATTTACATACACTTCAAATTAGCAAAGAATAAAAATATATTCCTTGCTTCATCTCCGTTATTAACCACATACCGCCCAGCCACTGTATAAATACGGCGGCAGGGCGGCACGGCTGGGCAAAACCACGATTTAAAACGTGTGTTTTGTAAACAGGTAGGGGGCGCGCGTGAGGCGTGCCGCCACCCTACCTGTCCCGCAGATCACAGCCGCGGATGTCAGTCGCCGGGTCACAGCGGGTCGTTACCGGCTATGTCCCGGTGACCGGTGGCAATTGCTGACAGAGAGCACAGCTGCAGTAGCTGTGCTTTCTGTCAGTTCCCTGATAGCTCCAGGACACGCTGATCAGGACAGAAGAGTTTCTCTCTCCCGATCAGCCGTGTTCCCTGCAGTACACACCCCCGCCCCCTAGTAAAACACTCCCCTCACACAGTTAACCCTTTCCCTGAAAAATAAACTTAACCCCTTCCTCCCCAGTGCCATTAGTACAGTGTCAGTGTTTTTTTTTTTTGCACTGATCACTGTATTGGTGTCACTGGGGATGTCAGTGACCCCAAGTCAGTACCCCCCAATGTCAGAATCTCCGCCGCAGTCCCGCAGTCCCGCCATAAGTCGCTGATCGCAGTCATAAGTCACTGATCGCCGCCATAAGTCCCTGATCGCCGCCATTATTAGTATAAAAAAAACTAAAAATCCCAGTATCTTTCCCGCCATTTTAAACGCTATAACTTTCACGTAAACCAATTAATTTACATGTATTGTTTTTTTTTTTTTTAGCAAAGACATGTCGCAGAATGCATTTTGGCAGAAATTTATGACTAAATTTGGTTTTTAAATTTTTTTTTTACTGGACATGTTTTATAGCAAAAAATATTGTTTTTTTTTTCAATATACACTTATTGGGATTTTTTTTACCAAAAACATGTAGCAGAATACATTTTGGCCTAAATTTATAACCAACTTTGAGTTTACTATATATTTTTTATAGTTGAAAGTAAAAAAAAAATTTTTTCTTCAAAATTTTTGGTCTTTTTTTGTTTTATAGCGTGAAAAATAAAAAGCGCACAGGTGATAAAATACCACCGAAAGAAAGCTCTATTTGTGTGAAAAAAAGGACGTAAATTTTGTTTGGGTGCAGCATTGCATGACCGTGCAATTATCAGTTGAATTAGTGCAGCGCCGAGTAGCAAAAAGAGGCCTGGTCATTAAGGGGGGTAAATCTTCTGGAGGTCAAGTGGTTAAAACAACATTATTTTTTTTTACATCTCTTACTCTGATAGCAATCATCTGCCATGGTCCAGCATTACTGGGTCCAAGCCTCTCTACAGCAATCTCTGATAACCCAGTTAGAGGCCACACATTTGGAATGTGTGAGAATGGAAATCAGTGAATAAGAAACACTGTAAAGAAAAAAGATTTCTCATCATCATTTGCTATTTTTGTCCATAGAAACATAGGAACAAGACACACATTACACTAATTAGAAATAATAAATACTGGAATTCTTCTGTTCATATGGGAGACTATTTTCTGTTCTAGAGAAATTTTAGAGGAGTTGCCCTGGGACCAATGAATATTGATCCACAGCACTGTATACCGTATATAAGATTGCATCTGACAAGCAGGACATTTACTAGCCATGGACATAGGCACACAGGTAAGCTGGACAAAGGCACAATGGAAGACACTTCATAGATTAATATGTCTGAATGACAATGTACAAGAGGACAGGTAGGTTAGAAGACTTTCTATGCCAACACTGGGGGTGATTTTTTAAAAATCTTATATTGGTATTTAATTTATACTAAAGAAAGGCGCTTTTGTGGGTGCTAGAAATGTTTTTTTTTCTAAAAGGAGTGCTATTTCTTGAGCATTTTTCCAAAAATTGTCTAGTGACACAAACATGTACTTCTTATGCTGAATGTACTATTTCAGGTTTTAGAATTCCTCTGCTGCTTATACAGTATTAGCAAAAGACAATACAAGTTAGATTGTAGATGTGTGTGCCTTATTTGCTATGGCTTTTGTGTCTTTTTCTTTTGCTGGCTTTTTGTTTGTCTTTTACTTGCTCATTTATGCTCCATATACACTAAGTTTTTCAGTGTTTTTGCGCATTTTTGCATTAGCGGTTTTTAGCGTTTTGCCCCGTTTTTTATTACTTTTTTTATTATGTTTTTTCTACAGCCAGTAAACCTCCCAGCATGTTATCCTATATGTCCATGCACACATAGACTGTAATCAATGTTTTGTGGCAGGGCCATTTTTTGGCTGGAAAAAAACACAGAACTAGTGGGTTTCTAGAGGAGTTTGTTAGCTGTAAAAACGCTCTAACGCTGAAAAACGTGGCAAAATGCAGTAAAACATGGTGAATCGTGGCAAACCGGTGTTTTTGGACGTTTTTTGATTAAAAAAATGTTTTTTTCTTTCAGTTAAAAAAAAAACACTAAAAACCGCAAATGTGAAAAAACGCGGCAAAACGCCACTGAATGCTAAAAAACGCAGAAAACTCACGTTTATAACTTGACTTTACACAGCTAGTGTTACCAGCGTTACTAAAACACCCCGTGTGCATGGAGCCTTACAGCTAAAAAAACTCCTCTAGAAACCCTCTAGTTCTGAGGGTTTTTTTCCAGCCAAAAAACGCTGATTACAGCATATGTGTGCATGGACACATAGGATAGCATGCTGGGGAGTTTACTAGTTGTATAGAAAAACGCTGTAAATATGTTCAGTGTGCATGAGGATTTATACTTGCCTTCTCACCATCTGTCAAATGCCTCTGAAAAGTGGTTTGACCATAGATCATTTTTCA